GTGAAACAGGGCAGAGCCCAAGGACCCTCTCGATTTTTAGCAATTCAGATGACCTTTTAGATGACCGTCTTGGGAGATGGAAACTCACACTCTCTCCTAGGGACAATTATATACAACAGCGAGTTGTCTTGGGAATCACTTTTAACTTTACTAACGGGGTCCAGGGGTCCACCTTATAGTCCGGGAGCCAGGAGGGGGGTCAACCTAGCTGGAAAGGAAACCAATTTTCATGTGCACGGATGTAAAGATCGCATAGCCCCATATAACGAATTGACCGTCTGGCACTGGCGTACTGGTGGGGGGGGGGGGGCTAGGGGGGCGCCAGCCCCCCCAAATAAAATGAAACCATGACTTATTTTTAATTCCATACAGGTGATTTATAAATGTTCGTGATAATAACATGATTTTCAACAAAATGTGCGTTTTTCCATTTCTGTTGCAAACTGACACATTCGCAAATAGCCAGGAAGAGCAATGTTTTTAATAGTCACTAATGGGCATTAGTGGCCATAGGTGCCGGAAGTGGGGGGGGGGGGGCAGGGGAGGCAGTTGCCCCCCCCCCCCCAGTCAAAATAGTGGGGGGCAAAACACATTTTTGCCCCCCAAAATGCCCCCCCCCCTCCAAAAAAAAAAAGCAGTAAAGGGGTAAACATGGTTTGTATTTTTAACCCAAAAGAACATAAAAAAATAAAAACCTGAAAAAAATCACATATACAATTCCATTCAAAGAAAAGGAAAGTTCACAGGAATTAAACTTCATAAACATTGCGCATATGCCACCTATACGGTATTTATCAATGGAGGTCTTTATAATAGCGATACGCGCATATCGTGGACATATTGTGCGAGAATGGGAAAGCGTGTCTGTTTTTTTGTTATAGGGGTCCTGAACGCTGGCGTACTGAATGATGGGGAGGGGGGGGGGAGGAATTTCTTATTCGATACCAGTGATTTACAAATGTTGCTGTTATGACATTTTCCGGTATTTTTTCTCGGGCGGGCCCTTGGATGCTCATCTGACCGTTATTAAATACCTAAAACCCCTGAGCTTCCGGGGGCTCTGCCCCCTGGACCCCACCAAGGGCCCTAAGGTGGCCCCTGGATGCTCATCTGACCGTAGTTAAATATTAAAACCTCTGAGCTTCTGCGGGCTCTCCCCCCCCCCCCCTGGAACACGTCATTAGCCTTAAAGAGGGCCCCTAGATGCTCATCTAACCGTAATTAAATACCTAAAACCCCTGAGCTTCCGGGGGCTCAGCCCCTTGACCCCCTGCCGAGGCTCATGCCCTGGATCCCACGCCAATTTACGCTTTGCCTGGTCGTTAATACTCCACTTTGGTATGAGCGAAAATGATTTTAGACAAGGATTAAGAGTAATAATAAAATGAGACGTAAAAGCTTCCGCGCTACGCGCGATATGAGCGAAAATGATCTTAGACAAGGATTAAGAGTAATAATTAAATGAAACGTCAAAGAGGGACGGGGACTGAATTCAGACAATTAGGACACGATACAATGAATCATCTTCTTTCTCTAATAATTTAATGAAACTTGATAGCTTCCGCGCTTTGCGCGTGATGGGCGAAAATGAATTCAGACAAGGATTATGAATATAGTCAAAGCTTCCGCGCTTCGCGCGGGAGGGGGTAGGGGAACTGAATTCAGACAAGGGCACGATACAACGAATCGTCATCTTTCTCTAATAATTTAATGAAACGTGAAAGCTTCCGCGTTTCCCGCGGGATGAGTGAAATTGAATTCAGACAAGGATTAAGAGTAATAATTTATTGAAACGTCAAAGCTTCCACGCTTCGCGCGGGAGGGGGCGAACTGAATTCAGGCAAGGATTAAGAGTCGAGAACGGTACAATGAATCGTCTTCTTTCTCTAATATTTAAATGAAACGTCATAGCTTCTGCGCTTCGCGCGGGAGGGGCGGGCGAAACAAGAAGAGTCGAGAACGGTATAACCGATCGTCTCCTTCCTCTAATAATTTAATGAAGTGTCACAGCTTCCGCGCTTTGCGCGGGAGGGGAAAAACTGAAAAATAACTTAGTTCCTGGCCCCGGGTTTATAGGCTTAAATTAGTAGACATTGGGGCATTGGTGTTAATATTTGTCGGTAATTGGTGGCTAGTTTTGTCAGTTAGCGGTGGCCTCTACAACCTTCCCCCCCCCCCCCCTGAACGTCTAACCAATCAGAAGGCCTCTTTTTTTCCAGGAAGTGGCCGGTGGACATTAATGCGCCAAAAATGATTCTCAAATTGCAAAAGATCTCTTGGAGGGGGTAGGAGAAAGCAATTTTACGTCATATTACTCCAGGAAGTGCCTGAAAATGCGTCTAATGTGGTTCTAAAATTGCAAATGCTTCCTACTCAGGGAGGGGGTCAGAACCCCCTCCCAGACCCACCCCCGCTTGGTCGCTCCGCTCACTCGCCGCTAAAGCCTCGCTCTGTCGCTTTATCGTTTTATATATATTTAACCCCATGCCATTTTGTGCCCCCCCCCGGTAAAAAATTCCTGGAACCGCCACTGTTTTCCCATACCCCTTGAGCTTCGGGGCTCCACCACTTGACCCCCGCCGGGGCTTTACCCCTAGACCTCACTTTGATAAACGTTCAGCCCCCCCCCCCAAACGTTTTTGCTCATTACGCCACTGCCGTCTGGCATGTCCTAAGTGGTGGGTGTGGCCAGGGGGAGGCCCCAAAGGGACGTGGGGAGGCAAGAGCGTATAGTGCTCGTCTCTGAAATTCGGTGCTCCCCAAAAGGTAATAAAGATTATATGTTTGCTAACATAATTCTAACACACGGCAGGTTAAATAGGAAAGTATTTATTTCCGTTTGAGCATGCAAATTAGTAAATAATATGAGTTTTAAGTAGTTTAAGCTTCTAACAACCACTCCTGTAGACTTTTTTTTCTCATTTACTACATTTCTTGCTGTCTGCTGCCTCGAGGCCTGAGATCACTGGAGCAAAGACAGGTAACAATGTTTAGCAAGAGTACCAATTCAGTGAAGGATTAAATCCTTTTTATCCAGATGGATAACTTAACAGTTTGGGCATCATCCCATAATATTGTGTCTATTATTAAGGGCGGTCCTGCTTTTTTTGAATGAGATGGAATGTTAAATCTGAGAGCTTGTTGTGCTCTTTGAAAGGAGCACACAATGGGGGCGGTGCGATTAAAATTTTCAGGGGATGGATTAGAGTTTTTATTGCTCACGATGGCTATCCAGGGGCCCTAATACTAATAGTCCGGGAGCCAGGGGGGTCAACCATGGACCTAGCTGGAAAGGAAACCAATTTTTATGTGCACGGATGTAAAGATCGCATAGCCCCATATAACGAATTGACCGTCTGGCATGTCCTAAGTGGTGGGTGTGGCCAGGGGGAGGCCCCAAAGGGGTCAACAAATTGAGCTAGATCAGCTGGAAGGGAAACCATATGAAACCCATAAGAGAAGATTTGCTGTAGTCTCGAGGTACATAAATGGGCAAGGCAAGACGTTTAAAGTGGTGGAAGGTGCCTGCCAGACGCCAACAAAGAGGTCAAAAATGGAGCTATATCAGCTGGAAAGGGGCCCATGAAACCAATGGGAAATTGTTCGGCAGAGTCCACAGATACACAAATGACCACTGACAGACGATTTATGTGGTGGGGAGTGCCTGCCAGACGCCCGTAAAGTGCACCAATCCCCAAAATTGAGTTAGATCAGCTGGAAAGGAAACCCAATGGAACATAAATGAAAAGATTATCCTTCTCCTTGCGGGACTTATGTGAAAGACATAATTATACAGTTTAAACGTCCCTTTCCTGCCCTCCTTCCCGATATGAAGACGATCAAAAATAAGAGCTACCCTAGGATTAAGTCTTGTGCCACTGTAAAAGTCAATGACGATCTTTTTCAAAATCTATCTGTCTTTACCTAGGCCTATCTATTGTTATTGAGTTATAAAAATTCCGAAAAACAATCTCCAACCAAATGCTTAGATTTGGTAAAGTGTACATCCTGGCACATCCTGGATTGGTTCATGAACGTTTCACCAACCCCCGCCACCCCAACTTCTGTGTAGAATGCAAAGTAGTTCTGAATTTTGAAATAAATTAAGGCATAAGACATGAAAACAACTTTTATTCATGAGGTGGTCAGTCATAGGTAAGGTAAGGTGAGGTATTTATTCATCAACATATCGCAGCCGATGGCTGAATTGCATGCATGATTTACAGATATTTGGTTTAAATATATTTTTTGTAAACACATCATATTTACATTTCATTATTTAACAATAATTCGAAGAAAAATACTCAGTAAAACTCAGAAAGGGAAGAAAGAAATAAAGGAAAAATGTGGAGCAGGAAAATAAGGAGAAAAGGAAAGTTGAGGGAGAGGGAGTGGAGAGAGAAGGGGAGAAGAGAAGGGAGAGAGAGACAGAGACAGACAGACAGAAAGAGAGAGAGAGAGAGAGAGGGAGAGAGGGGTGAAGAGGAACAAAGAGAGAGATGAACACGAACACAGAGCTGGTATAATATAATACAAATTTGAAAATTAAAAATGTAATTGAAAAAAGTTATTTCATCCACGTTAGTGGGAATGCACTTCAAAGGAATTGATTTAGAAAAAAGTAATTTTGAGGCAAAAAGAAAATACATTTCCATATTTACAGGCAACATTCATCTTCAATTCACTATTTTGTGTGTTCTAATACTCTAAGTATAGTTTTTCAACATTAGAATTCAGCAGTTGGATAATTTGTGGCATTGCGCATTTGAAATAAATTAAGGCATAAGACATGAAGATAACTTTTATTCATCGTCATTATCATTATCATCATCATCATCATCATCATCACCACCATCATAATCATCATCATCATCACCACCATCATAATCATCATCATCTCTGTCATTATCATCATCATCATCTCTGTCATTATCATCATCATCATCATCATCATCACCATCATCACCACCATCATCACCATCATCATCATCATCATCATCATCATCACCACCACCATCCATCATCATCATCACCACCATCATAATCATCATCACTCATCATCATCATCATCTCTGTCATTATCATCATCATCATCATCATCACCATCATCACCACCATCATAATCATCATCATCATCATCATCATCATCACCACCCACCACCACCATCATCATCATCACCACCATCATCACCACCATCATCATCATCTCTGTCATTACCATTTTGTCAACGAAGCGAGTAACGTTTTATGATATATTTTTTAATTAATTCTTTATAGCAAATAAACTACATGAATTAAGGGTGTACAATTCCAAGACATACAAACTGGACGGTAGTAATATCAGAATATTTTTTAGCAGAGTTTTATTTAGTGAACATTGCATGATTATAAATGTCATCGTCTTTAATTGTTTACATATACCCATTTCGTCCACTTTATTGTATGTAATATCGCCATAATATGATAATAATATTAATAATAATGATAATAAAAGCAATTTTGTTAACTCAGGCTAGCAACATCAGTATTAATACTACTATTTCTACGGGCCCTGCAATATTCCTTACCCAGCAATTGCCAGGAACCCATTTACACCTGGGTGGAGAGTGGCAAATATGGATTAATGCCTTGCCAAAGGACGTTAGTGCCGGGCTCTCATCCCTTGGATTGGTTTGGTTTCATTTTCCGTATAAACAAACATAGTACATACACATGAACATAACAATAATTGTAATTACTTTAACAAAAATACAGATGAATAGCTCTATAGGACCATTACATTATCAAATGGCTCTAATCTTCCTAGAGTCACAGATTGAGAGGTTTTCTTTAGGTCATAATGTTTTTTCTTATTAATTTCTATTCTTGCAAGTGTTATGTGATAGTTGTTTTAACATTGCTATTCATTACATGTGCTTTTATTATAAAAATGAATGTATAGTCAGCCCTCATGCTGCCGTTTTCAGTTTGCTCAATAAACCATTCAATTTAATTCAATGAATCAAGTGAATGGCCCACGACACCTCCACATGGAAGACCTAAAAGTAATTTAAGATAAGTGCTTTTACCGCCTATCAAGAATTAGGAAAGTTAAATTCCTCTTCTCCCTTGTGTACCATGTCACTTTTCGGACATGGATATTCTTTGGTGTTAGACCTTCTTCCTTACCACAGTCACGATGACTATGTTCAAATTAAAAAACGAATAAACAAAATCATGATGACAAGATATCATCTAATGCAATACCAATAGTTGGCTTTCAGAAGAAATGGAAAAACGCAACATTTATTCCTGGAAGGAGAACACAAACATTATAAAGGCATCCTTGGTATAATGATTAAAATGTAAAGAAATAATGTGAAGTGAATTTCGAACCACTCTTTGAAAAAAGACAAACCATACCAAACATAATGTGACAGCTCAAAAAGAAACCACCGGAACATGATAAAATCAAGATAAGGAAAATGATACGAGACGATTATGTAACCCTCTCCCGGAGATTCCTCAAGGAAAATAAAAAGAACAAGTTGTCGATGTTGAAGTAGAAGATAACGTTCATCATCTTCACAGAGTAGCTTTAATATGACGATTGAATCATCCTCACGAATTCTGAATGGTAGAAAAGGAGAGGACAAAAATGCAGTGAATGAAAAGAAACGAGTCAACGCAAAGCGTACATGTAGCATCCCCTCACCAAAAAATGGCCTACATGTATATACGTCAGAGCAAGTTACCTCTATTAGACTATACTAAAGTGCGTCTGAGAAAAAACGAAACCGAGAATTATCGATGTTTTTTTTATCATAACTTAAAGGTAATACAAAGTTTTGGTATGGGGTCATGAATTTGGTTCAAATGAACATATTGGAAGCATATGCGATTCTACAATATTCAGTGATCGTTGTCGCGGTTGAAATCGAGTCTAAAGTTATGAAATTGTAAATAATAAACTCTTTATGATGTATAGCTCCCTCTCAAGGTCAAAAATTAATAAGCTATAAAACAATGTTTTTTACTAAAATCGACCGATTAGCTGTTCCCGTTTGGAAATTATATATCACAACTACATATTCTGAGAGTTTCATGGTCGCAGCTACCATTGTACAGCCGTAGGCGCTATTTGAAATTTATCAACATTTACCGGGAGCACCGGTAAATTTTTTATTCAATTTTTCTCGAAAGCAGAAGTGTTTTAGGGGCTAAATTTTCTAGTGCTTATAATACATCCACAGGGGCATCCAAATATATCAAAATTGTAAGAATCACGATCCACCCAATTTTCAAAATTTCCCAAAACTTTGTATTACCTTTAATCACAATTATAATTAATGACACATATTTTTAAAGCTTAGATCCTCTTCTTTCATTTAATGCAACACATATGATGCATATTTCATGCATGAATGATTAACAAACAATTTGAAAAAAGGGAACCCAAAAGTCATTTTGCGAACGGTATTTGAATTTGAAAGAGAAAATCACATTCCTAGAAAGTTCAGGAAATATGCGCCAGGAATAACAACGTTTTGTTTGTTTATTAATGCTTGCATTTCCATGATTTCCTTAAACGAATTCGTTTTCACTGGCTGCCTGCCTTTTTGAGCAAAAAACAGAGTTGACAAAAGACTCAACTCCGTTTCGTTGACAATCAGCCATGCATTATAGTCTTTCGTCTAAATTTTTTGGACCAATATTATCGAAGGTTCATTGTGTGATAAGAATCTGTTATACTGTCAGCTGACTGAGGTTTTGAAGTTGGAGGAAAGGGACGACAAAAGAAGACGCGTGGACCCCCTCCCATACCCTTCCTCTGATCAGCAGCCTTTCAAATTCGTATTTCATTTAAAGAGTAAGATCGGTGCCCCTCCCCATATCATTCCAAAATGCACTCACCTGCACGGCGGATTTCACCGTCGTTATTGCCGTCGGCTTTCTTGATGATTGCATCGATTTCCTCCTTCGTCATCGGTGGATCGGTGCATGCTGACAACGCTGTACGCAGCTCTTCAGGACTGCAAGCAAATAATTAGCAAAATACAAGTATATTGAGTTCACTTTTTCCAAATTTGGATTATTCCATTGAAGTCATTGACTAAATTATCGAATATTCTTTTAAATGTATTGAATATTGATCCAGCATAGAGGTGCTAAATCTGATCTCGACCATACCATATGGAAAATAAAGATAAGGTCATTTATCTACTCTTGTACAAGCATAACAAGCACAATAATCATCTCCATCCGTCCGGACAATCACGACCCGGGTACTGACTGAAAACACAAAACTATCCAGACAACTATAAACCCGTGATACAAATTTACTGATACCCGGATAATTGTCATCCCTAAAACACCTATTCTGTTTGCACTATCCTATAGGGTATGTTCTCCCAGGTGGTAGATCGTAGTTTTCCTTGGAGCTAGTATTGTTTGGTTGAGAGTTTGAGAGAGGGGGACGGGGGAAGGGCGGTGGAGGGAAGGGCGGTGGAGGGATGGGAGCGGGAGGGTCATCTTCAGGGATTTGGTTTCCGAACACGCTGTTTAACGTCTTTAGCAAGAAATTGATCCCATAATTGTCCACATTTCTCCAATAGCGGAAATTTGGTCGGACAATCCATTGGATGTTTTTCTTCCATCTATTGCCATCCTCATAAAAGACTTTGAAAGCAACCCTTCTTATACCCCTTCACTCCTTAAGACTACCCTATCACTATATCACTGTCCATCTTACCTGAGGGATCCGCTTTTATCCGTGTCCAAGGCGTCGAAAGCTTTAAAGTATTGTGCTCCTTTCCCGCGCATCTGTTCTGCCTTCTTCATCAAAATCTCAGAAAAGTCTACAGTTCTGCTACCTAGCCGAATGAAGAAAAATAGACTTCTTAGTTCTCACACAAGTCCTTTTCGAAAAGTGATTCATCTTGCATTCTTACTGCTCGATTCAATGCACGAAGATTAGATCCGATAATTGACTTAAATACTGAATGCCTAATGAGTTGAGACATCTTAAAGGTAGAGACCAGTTTTGGAAACGCCGTGTTCTCAAAAAATGAAATGGAAGCTCTAATGACCAATCATGTGAAATACTATGTTTTGACTAATACGTGATGATACAATGCTTGCCGGGAAACCGCCTACTAATTGATTTATTTGGTAAATTATCTATCTGGACTGGATAGAGACCTCGTAGTCCCATATACATCTTTTTGTGTACAGTGCTTGCCAGGCGCGGATCCAGGATTTCTTAGGGGGGGGGGGCCCAAATTTGAAATTGTGCGAGCCAAATATTGGTACGTAATGGTGACCAACAGTGACGTAATGCGGGGGGGGGGGGAGTTTCCCCCTCCCAAGCTTTAACGTTTCATTATATTATTAGAGAAAGAAGACGATTCGTTGTACCGTTCTCGGAAATAATTCTCGTCTAAATTTAGTTTCCCCCCCCCCCCCCCCCGCGCGAAGCGCCGAAAATTTTACGATTTATTAAATTATTAGAGGAAGAAGACGAGTCGTTGTAGAGTTCTCGACTCTTAATCCTCGTCTGAATACAGGTTCCCCCCTCCCGCGCGGAAGCTTTTACGATTCATTAAAATATTAGATAAAGAAGACGATTCGTTGTACTGTTCTCGACTCTTAATCCTTGTCTAAATTCAGTCCCCCCCCCCCCTCCCCCGCCTCCAGCGCGAAGCGCGGAAGCTTTTACGTTTCATTAAATCATTAGAGAAAGAAAACGATTCGTTGTACAGTTCTCGACTCTTAATCCTTGTCTAAATTCAGCCCCCCCCCCCCTCCTGCGCGAAGCGCGGAAGCTTTTACGTTTCATTTAATCATTAGAGGAAGAAAACGATTCGTTGTACAGTTCTCGACTCTTAATCCTCGTCTGAATTCAGGTTCCCCCCCCCCCTCCCGCGCGAAGCGCGGAAGCTTTTACGTTTCATTTAATCATTAGAGGAAGAAAACGATTCGTTGTACAGTTCTCGACTCTTAATCCTCGTCTGAATTCAGGTTCCCCCCCCCCCTCCCGCGCGAAGCGCGGAAGCTTTTACGTTTCATTAAATCATTAGAGAAAGAAAACGATTCGTTGTACAGTTCTCGACTCTTAATCCTTGTCTAAATTCAGCCCCCCCCCCCTCCTGCGCGAAGCGCGGAAGCTTTTACGTTTCATTTAATCATTAGAGGAAGAAAACGATTCGTTGTACAGTTCTCGACTCTTAATCCTCGTCTGAATTCAGGTCCCCCCCCCCTCCCGCGCGAAGCGCGGAAGCTTTTACGTTTCATTTAATCATTAGAGGAAGAAAACGATTCGTTGTACAGTTCTCGACTCTTAATCCTCGTCTGAATTCAGGTTCCCCCCCCTAGATGGAATCCAGGGGGCAAGGGGGAAGCTTAAGGGTTTTAGGCATTTAATCACGGTCAGATGAGCATATTTTGATGCCTCATTATTTTGTTAACACTGGCAGTTAACTATTCTCACTTTCTTGCTCTCATTCTATTTTATTTCTCTTTAATATACTTTTTCAAGAAAAGTGGGGGGGGGGGGCTCGAGGCTCTCGATCCCCGCCGTACCTCGGGCCCTGACATGTTGGAATCTCAAGAATCATATTTTTGGCCTGGCTGTAAATTTAGAAATTTGTCATTTTCCAACAAACACATTAGCGCTCAAAATACACCGATTCGCCCCCGTGAGCTACAAAATCGCCCCCGTCAGGTTGCTCACGGGGGCGATTGCAGAATTAAAAATCGCCCCGGTGGAATTATAAAACAAAGATAATCTTTTCTGTTATAACTTTAACACAATATTGAGTTTCAATTTTCAAACCTTAAACCAATGAAATGGAACTAAGATTAGCGTGCAAGATTTCTCGTTTTATGAGTAGGCCTATTATTACCGATTCAGCTCGCAGTGCAGTGCCGGCGTCAGCAGTGGTTATAGGCCTACTGCGCCGTTAGTAGCGGTGCGTGTGCACGCTGCCGCGCCATGTCTGCTGGAGCTGGAGGCGATCGGGCAAGGGCAGAAACATGGTCATGGCCTGGAGAAGTTTTTCGTTGTCAGCAAATAATGAACCTCGACCAGTAAATCAATATTAGGGACTTTTAGATTTGCACGATGAGAACGTGGACTGCAACGTGTGACCTCCTTTTAAGGCACTGCCAGTGCTTAAAAGGACGTCACATGTGATTGCCAGTGCCTTAAAAGGACGTAACACGTCCACGTCCACGCAAATCTAAAAGTCCCTTTTGAGGAGAAGAGGAAGACCAAAATGTCGTGGAATGATATGGTAACATGGGCAGATCTACGGCGGGGGGGGGGGGGGGGGGGTAGGGGTTTAACCCCCTCCTCCCACCCCCGGCCCCCTTGGGCTGCCAAGTGAAAATGTGATATTAAAGCGGGGGGGGGGGGGAGGTGGATTCTGGAGAGGAGGACTACTAATCTATTTTATTTTTTTCAGGGGGCGGTGGGAAGTGAAGCGCCGTTTTAGCACCTTTCTCAGATAACCCTAAGTTTTTGGTTGCTGCTTTATATGTAGTTGATAATGCATAATTAAGATAAAGAAAGAGAGAGAGAGAGAGAGAGAGAACCACCATCATTTTGCAACGGTTCAGGGTTCGTGTAATGTACATTTGAAACCATTTCTTAGCGCCTCGACCCTAAAAAAATAGCAAAACTATTTTTGAGGAAAAGCATTATACTGAATTAAATAAAGAATAATAGCCTTATATTGGAACATACTAATACGGACTAAAGACAATGTGGTATTTGTATAGAGGTATTCCAAAATGACATTCTGATAATCAACATTTGTTCTGGTATCATAATATACGCATAATACAACTGATCTTTATGATTTCTTAACGTGACATAGCTTCTTCTCCCTCTGCAAACAAAACAGAAAACAAGGTTATTTAATAAAAGGACCATGCGACAAATAATCATTGTGATTCAAATTGATGCAAGGATTTTTTTTGAATAAGCAATGCTTTTCACCATAATCTTCTTTGTAAAAACGACTTTTACAAATCTCAGCCATGCAATTCTGCCACTGTGCTGTAAGATCACTTTGAGATTAGGAGAAGTGTATTATGTAATGGTTATTTTAAATTGAATGGAACGTCTCAACTCAGTAAGCATGGCTGAGATTTGTAAAAGTTGTTTTTACAAAGAAGTTTCGGGTGAATAGCAGTGCTTATTCAAACGAATATTCGCATCAATTTGAATCACAATCATTATTTGTCGCTTAATCCCTTTTAATGACCATGTTTTCTTTTTCGTTTGCAAGGGGAGAAGAAGATATGTCACGTTAAAGACATCATAAAGATCAGTGTTGTATGCGTTTATTATATACACAGGCCAGTAACAGCTATGTAGCTTGTAAATTTGTAAGAGGGAAAATGCTGATTGAAATGATAATGACGAAATAGCAAATAATTGAAGAGTATCATAGGTACCAATTAAATGGATATTTGTATAAAAAACAGCCCCCGTGAAAAGGCTCACGGGGGCTCTTTTTTCGGGGGAAGAGCCCCCGTGGACAAAAAATTAATTTGAGCCCTGAAACACATACAAACGTATAATTTACTAAAAAGTGAGGAAAAATTTCGGAAATTATGTCATTTCAGCATTATTTGTAATCCACCGTTGTGGAATTAGAAATAAACCACGTTTGAATTTGACTTCTCCCAAGCCCCCCCCCCTATCAGTACGCCAGTATCTCCTCTTTTCCTTTTTTTTTTTCTTTCCCTTTCCTTCCTTCTCTCTTATTTGTTTTGATTGGGGGGGGGGGTGTTAACAGCCTGGGAGGCAAGGCCCTTTCGGCCCCCGATCTCCTTCTTCCCCCTTTTCTTTTCTTCTTCCTCTTCTTTCTTTCCCTTTTTCTCCTTTTCCCTTTCCCTTCTTTTCCTTTCTTCTCTTTTTTTTTTTGCGGGGGGGGGGGGGGGGCAAGGCACGCTCGGCCCCCCCCCCTGGATCCGCGCCTGGTGCTTGCAACTTTACCAAGACTGGGCTAAATTTCGTATCATTTTGATGATTCTAGAACCTTGCAGTACACACCAATACTTATATGCTAGATGATCGACCTTTTCTGATCGATTCCACAACGTTTCTTTCACAATGCAATAGCATGATCAGATCTGGTCTATACCTTTAAGGTGATAAAAAGTAAACACTTTTATGTTGAAATAAAGAGAGAGCAATCTCTCAGCTCTTTTCGTCAACAAGAAACGAGTATGATTTGGGTGATACTGTATTGTGTAAGGTACGAACAATCATGACCAATAAAAGTATTGAAACAAAAAAACTAGAGTTCCAGATTAAAGTTCTGCATAATATTCTGTTTTTTAATTAAAGGCATTGCAAAGTGAAAATAGAGCCTTCACCAGAATGTACGTAAGTTTGGCTGCCAAAATTAAGAAACTTTAGAACATGTGCAATTGTAATGTAGTTATGATCAGACGTTTTGGAATTAAACCAACGTTTTGTTGTCCATGTTTGACTTATCTTTCCTTGATGAAATATCACAGTTATAGTGGGACATTTAGAAAAGCACCCACACAGTATAACAATTAATTACATGTTAACAATAGCAAAACAATGTATATACCTGTGCATAAACAAGAAAAACAAGCCAATCATTGACTGTCCCAAAAGAATGCTTTTTACTTCGTATAAAGAAGAACAATGTATTGCAAATCAAAATGGCAAGCTCTTATTTCACCATAGAAAATATAATTGTGTACTACACTTTTTTATTTTAATTAGTTTTACATTTTACTACAATTATTGTTGACCTGATGACCTCTTGTATAACCCGTCATGAAAAGATGTTCAAGCTAGCAATTGATTTATATATATTGATTTATATATATATATATATATATATATATATTGTATTTCACATCAATTATGTAATAGATTGAAAGTATTCTTGAGTCCATGGTATATGTTTTGTGAACCGAAAAGTATCAATTAAACATCTTTGAAATATCGTTTAAAAATCACCTAAAGACATCCCCTTTTCAGGCTGCTTCCTGTCGTGTGACGAACTCTCAACACGGAATAAAAAAGCCAGCACCCCAATTGACTGTTTTTATAATCACAGACTTCATTGTTTACATGTTAAACTTCTTTTAGAGATTTTGCAACCCATATTAAATAAAACATGTCATAGATTATTAAACTTCAATTTACGTGTTGTGGTCAGTTTCATCATTTTTATTTCGTTGTCATTCCTAAGTCTTCACTATAAACTCACCATCTTTTTCAACTATACTCATCATTTCGTCAATCTTTTCCTGAGTCAAGTCTATTTCAATTGATTTAAACGCTGCTTTCAACTCTTCAGGAGTGATTTTGCCATCGCCATCCGCGTCTATTGATTTGAAGGAGCTTTTGAATACTAAAAGATGTAAAATAACAAAATTAAAAATAAAGTGTAAATATGGTGTCAGTAAGACAGGGGAGGAAAGGAGTAGAAGATGTTTGTAGGAAACATCGAGTAACATACATAATATATTTTTTATAAACTAGCGAAAGACTGGCAATTACGAAATAAAATCAAATACTTCTACATGACTAGAAATTATTGGATTGCATAAGAATTTGATTTCATCATTAGGCGTTATTTTGCTTGATTTCTTCAGTATTGCAATCTTCAAATTGCAAGCAGGCGTGATGGCTCATGCAGTGGTAGAGCGGTGGTCTCATAACTGGGAGGTCCCGTGTTCGAAACCAAGTCGATGCGTTGGTGCATTAATACTCATCAACAAGTCCCTCGGAGGGGATTGAAAGCAGTCGGTCCCCTGGTTGCTATACTTACAAGCACAAACATGCTTTCTTAGCATTCAGGTAAAACAAACAGACCAACCAACCAACCACCCAACCAATATCCTCTCATGTTAACGAGAATTTTGTTTATCCGAGAAGACCAGCTGTTATTTTCACATCTTTAGTGATCTTATTTTCCTTTGATGCTCTTCGAGAGCTTACACTCTACTGCTATACTAGTATCATGTTTAAGATTGTTGTATAACACCCTCTTGTAATAGATTTGGTCTCCCACTTTAAACATTGATAAAGTCAGTCTTTTTTTTTCGTACCTTTTCTTTGCTCCTCGGTAAAAAATAATTGGACAGCCTGTAAAGAAAAAGAAATAAACGAAATTAAAAGAGCATTATTTAATAGAGCGAACTACACATGTATTGTCAAATGCCGTATTTTGCTTCATTGAATTATTATACACCAACGTAAAAGGGAAACCTCAAAGAGAAAAAATACCATTACATGGGTAGGCCCTTATGCCGTTACATTGTGATTAGATTATCAGGGATGATTTCATTGCTTGTTTCCTTCTTTACATGGTCCAAGAAACTGCTTAAGCATAATACTTTGCAGTTGGGTGTGATGGTATGAATATTTATTAGGAACGGCCGTTGAAGCTTTTCCGCATTGCTTCCGTGATCAACTACGAAACTTCATAGTAATCGGAGCAGTTTCCTGTAGACCCTGGACTTACCGGGTTACTTTGTGTTCTCGTCAAGTCCTGACTACGGAGGTTACCCCCCCCCCCCTTTTTTTTTACCGGCCTTTTACCGTCGTAGTGCCGTCTAATTTCGGGACCTTTCGAAAAGGGACGGTAGAGCAGACAGGACGGATAATTTAGTCGCCCTTCACGCGGTCCTCGCACAATAATCTTATCTTCATTATTTTGTAGACTATTTCGATTTCTGAGTAAGATGACTCGGAGTCCTGTGACCCCATTCATGTTACTCCTTTTAGCATCTCGTTCCAATTTTATTTTTTTCCTTCTCTAAGCTTCTCTTTGTTATCCTTACTTCAATCCTTCAATCATTTTCTCTTCTGTCTTTCCTAATGTTATTCTTTGTTTTTTATCCGTATCCGGACACCAACCCCGTGGACATCCACCCCTGATTAACCACCACTAGGATAACCACCCTCCTAGGACGACTATCGCCAAGGACAACTACCCCCGGACAACTAACCCCTAGGACAACTACCCCCAGACATCTACCCCTAGGAAAGTTGTCCGGGGGTAGTTGTCCTAAAGGATGGTTGCCGTAGGGGATAGTTAGCTGGGTATAGTTATCCGGGGGTAGTTGTCCGGGGTAGCTCTCCTAGAGGGGAGTTGTCGGGGGTAGTTGTCCGGGGGTAGTTGTCCTAGAGGGTGTTTGCCCTAGGGGGTAGTTGTCCTAGGGGGTTGTTGTCCTAGAGGTGGTTATCCGGGGGGTAGGTGTTTCTAAAACCGTTTTTATCCTTCCACATTCTTCTTTCTTATGTTATCATTTCTGTTATCCTTCTATCAATAATATTCCTCTTCTATCTTAATTCCTTATGTTATTCCTTGTTTTATCCTTTCATCTTTTCCTTTATCATCCCTAGCTGTGAATGTTTTGTTATTCCACCGATTACTTTAGATATTCCCTCTCTGTTATTTCCCATGTACACGACACACTATTTCGTTCCGTTTACAGACCGGACGTTTATTTCAGCCGAGAACCATCCTGAAAATGAAAAGGGACGGTGAGTTGTAGCCTATAAGATTTTTCGTTTGGCTGACCATCCTATGTTACTAACGTCCCATTTTCGAAAACTCACTTTTCACCGAAAAGTGACCGGGAATAAATTCAAGTCTGATGGTTCTACCGTCGGCAAAATTCTCAAGGATCCGGAACTATGGAACTAACGCTTTATGCAATGATTCCTCTGTAATGTATGCATTAAAAATTAATCAAAGAGCATGGCGCAATTCTGCCACTGCGCTGTAAGATCAATTTCAGATTAGGAGTAGTGTATTCTTTGAAGAGTATTTTAAATTGAATGGAACGTCTCAACTCAGTAAGCATAGCTGAGATTTGTAAAAATTGTTTTTAAAAACAAGGTTCTGCTGAAAAGCAGAGCTTATTCAAAAAAATCTTTGCATCAATTTGAATCACAATCATTTTGTCGCATACAGTGTCAAAAATGTTGCCAGTGTATTATGCGTGGGGGAGGGGGGCTAAAGTATTTACGATCAGGTAGAGCAGGCGCGGATCCAGGATTTCTTAGGGGAGGGGGCCCAACTTTTTTTTTTTCTTGCTCCCGAAAATTTGAAAATCGCGCCGGCCGAAAAGTCGCTCAATGGGGGGGGGGGGGGGGGGGGGGGGGGGGGGGGTGGTATAGAGCACAATTTTTTTTTTTTTGCTCCGAAAATTTGAAAAACGCGCCGGCCAAAAATTCGCTCAGTGGGGGGGGGGGGGGGGGGGGTAGTGAGCACATTTTTTTTTTTTTTTTAACCCCCAAAAAAATTCAATTTGCACCCCCCCCCTTGAGCGCCAGGGGGGGCCCAACCCCCCAAAATCGTAAAAATCACGTGATTTTACATGATTTTTTTCTCAAGGGGGGGGGGCCCGGGCCCCCCCCCCCCCCCTGGATCCGCCACTGAGGTAGAGACACCACGCTGTGTGTGGGATGCGAGAAAGGGGAAACACAGATGTAAATTGACGTGGGGTCCAGGGGGTGGTCGACCCCCGGAAGCTCAGTCAGATGTGCATATCTTACCTGATTGTTTTAACAATTATTTTATTTTTAATAGATATATAAATCAATATAGTACTAAAAATTCAAACAAACTTTTTGTTCCTTCATTTCGCTATAATTTGTCAAGAACAGTAATACAATATAAAGGATCCATTATTTGGAACAACTTACCAGATTCTCTCAAAGTATGTCCGACATTGTCTAGTTTTAAGCGTAATTTTAAACACAAACAAATATCAAGTTACAATGTACTTTTTTAGCTTTTATTAATGCTGCCTGTCCTTTGTATGTGTGTATGTATGTCTTAGCTAATGTAATGTCTATATTGACAATATTTTGCTTTTAATTACTGAAGATTTTACTTTTGGGGTTGTAGAAAAAGGGGACTAGCCTAGATAACCAATGGCCTTTTCTGGTCCTCACATCCCTACTCCACCCATTAATCATGTTTAGTGTTTAATACTGTTGTTGTTGTATTTGTTCTTATCAAATTTTATATATATTGCATTTTATATAATTGTATTTGAATGTTATAATGCTGTAAGTTTGTTTATTGGATGTGAAATAAACTGAACTTGAACTTGATATATTGATACCTCATTTTTGACACTGGCAGGACACTATATTTTTGTTTGATGACGGAAATCATGGTCTGAAGCAATATTTCATTCAAATGAGACACTTGCTAAAGATTAGAAAAATTCAACGTTGACTCTTAATAGTAATGAGTACATTTATAAGGTGAAAAATAAATTAAAATATAATTCACGCGAGTACCGTATCATCTCTTCCTCTCACATATTTCTAAAGTTTGTGGCAGATTCGTTTTGTAGAGCAATAAATATATAGAAAAAGTTGCTTTTTTGAGTCCCAGACTCACCAAAAGCCAAATCTCACGCACAAATTTTGCAAAAGCAGTGAGTAATTGCGTCTCCCAGGTTGGTTTCGGAAGCTGGAGAAGAATTATTTTCGCATCGTATACTGATTATGATTTAATGATTTACACATCTATCCAATCTGTCCATATAGTGTAACATTAACGACGCATCTGTAACACTAATAAACAATGTGCATGAGACTAATTTTGTTTGGTATAATTAAGCGCAGATTGAAGAAAAAAAAATCTAAATGTTGACCGACAGTTCGTCTTCTGCTCACCCAGTCGCGGATCCAGCCGGCGGCAGGGGAGGGGGCCAAAGAGGGGGCCCAATTCGTGAGAAGATATTGAGCTGCGAAAAAGCCAGCCGGTGAATAAGCGGGGAGGAGGGGGGAGGGAAGGAAGGACCAATAATTTTTTTAATTTTTTGTATTGCCCTCGAAAAATTAAAAATCGCACCCCCCCCCCCATATTATCCATGTTTTCAGGCTTCCTGGATTAAGATTAGCAACATTATTACATATTGCACATATATGCTAATTAGATTATTATGCTTATTAAGCTAATTATACTACATCTACATGGAATATCTTCACATGAATTAATTATTAGTCTTTCAAAAGTGATTTACAATGTTGCATTGCACCATTTTTAGGCTTTATAGATAAACAATGACAATGAAGTCCATATATTGTATGCATGCTTATTAGCTCATTATGCTCATTGTGCTATTTAAGACAATTGCATTACTTGGAATCAAAACCTGGTGTCATAAATAAATTCCTCGTCATAGAAAACCCTTGAAAAGTCATATTATCCATGTTTTCAGGCTTCCTGGATTAAGATTAGCAACATTATTACATATTGCACATAATGCTAATTAGATTATTATGCTAATTAGGCTAATTATACTACATATACATGGAATATCTTCTCATGAATTAATGATTAATCTTCCAAAAGTGATTTACAATATTGCATTGCACCATTTTTAGGCTTTATAGATACACAATGACAATGAAGTCCATATATTGTACATATTATGCTAATTATGCTATTTAAGACAATTGTATTACTTTAAAATAAAAATTGGTGTCATAAATGAATTCCTTGTCATAAAAAAAACCTTGAAAAGTCGTATTATCCATGTTTTCCGGCTCCCTGGATTGAGATTAGCAACATTATTACATATTGCACATAATTTTTATGCTAATTAGAAGATTATGCTAAAGGCTATTGAAAAAGTTGCTCAAGGTTGCCAAGCTGCCAACCAAGCTGAATTTACTTCAATACCCACCTAGAACACAAATCAACAAAAAAACCTTGTACTTATCAACTTTTCCAGGTCTGAAAAACTTCTACACTCTACAGGACTACACATGATATCCGAGCCCCTCAAAAAAAAATCAGGGGGCTCCATGATGTTATCCGAGCCCCACAAAAATATCGGGGGGCTCCGTGATGTTATCTGAAAATAATTGGGGGCTGATGATATTTGAGCCCCACCAAAACAGGGGGGTCAAAGATATCTGAGCCCCCCCCCCCCCCCAAAAAAAATATGGGGAGGGGGTGGTCAATGATATCAGAGTCCCGCTAAGAAAATATTTGGGGGTCTCATTGATATCCGAGATCCACCAAATATATTTTGTGGGGGTCAATGATATGCGAGATCCGATGTCTGAGCCCCCCTCCCCCTCCCCAAATAAATATTTATAAAATGTTTATATTTGAATGGTAAGTCTGTAGATTATAGGTATACATGAGTTTCATGCCTAGAATATAATGATAGGGGAGGAGGGGGTTAATGATATCCGAGCCCCGCAATAAGTATTGGGGGCGGCTCAATGATATCTGAGCCCCACTTAAATATTGGGGGCTCAATGGTATCTGAGCCCCTAAGGATTCAATGATATCTAACCCCACCACAAAATTGGGGGCTCAATGATATCTATAAGCCCCGCCAAAAACGTTGGGGGGGGGTCATTGATATCTGAGCCCCCCCCCCCCCCGGTTCCTAAGCCTATGTCTGCGATCACGACTGTATCACCATGGTATCACCTATCTCTAGCTAGCTCTAGCTATAGCTATAGAAATAAAGATCGGTGTGCATTTCTATGGCATGCAACGATGGGTATGATTGGTCAACATTAAACTAACGGTAGTGTGTTTTACTGACGGTACTAAATTAGATAAACAATTGCGTTAATGAAAACTAAAGAGTTTACGTAAGTAAAATAATGGTAAAAATAAGTATACGTTAGCTTTATATCATGTTAGTACCGTAACTGTTGAGTAACGCAAACACTACTATGCAAAATCATTGGATATTAAGTGTACGTTATTGTTTCCTTAGTGATTACCACTATGAACATGACTGACAAAGAAAGCGGACAAAATATACAGTTCCTCAGGTGGACAAAGGAACATTCCTTCACTGCTATTATGTAAAAAGGTGAATATGCATGTGACACCTGTTCTACACATTTTTACATAATAGCAGTGAAGGGATGTTCCTTTGTCCACCTGAGGAACTGTATATTTTGTCCGCTTTCTTTGTCAGTCATGTTCATAGTGTACGTTACTAGTTAAGTTTATGGCGGTGATGGCCTTCCATAACAGTCCCGCAGTATCCGTGAACGCCTTCCATTGTTAAGTCCGCGTCAGTACTTTGCATAAGAAAGGGGTTACGAGGGTGTAGACCCCTTATATGCTTTTCCGTGTAAGTGTCTACGATATAGTTAGTCGACAATGTCAGCAAAATACAAACTCATAAAATGATGATTCGAAATAGATCCATACCTTGCTATAATTGTCGTTAAAGGTACTATGTCCCATTTGCAGGCCAAAAAATGAAAAAGTTAAATTCCAACTGCATTTGAAAGATAATACTTATTTAGAACTTCCCTAAAAAAGGTGGGGCTTGAAAATGTCTTCAAGTGGGAGAATAATGACTATTAGTTGTCAAATCGACTTTAGAGCTATAGAGCCCAAAAGTAATAGTCTTGTTTTTCAGACAATTGTACCAAATGGTCATACGTTTTATGCTGCGCAAAGATTCAATCAGTTTAATCTTGGCCATCACAAGAGGTGGGTTATTGATGTAGACAAACGCTCAGGTACCCTTTACAACTCTTTTCATGTATGTTATTACCAAAGAAGAAAAAAGCCATTCATTCACTCAATAGTGTCTGACAGTGAAGTCTAGCAAGTAAACGGGTTTCCTTGCATAATTTAAATATGAGGACACTGCTAACGTTTAAATTTCACAGATAGGACATACATGACATATTCATAATTCCTGCAAAGTTCTACAGAATTCGAGGTTGGCTGCAAAAGGGACATAGTACCTTTAAATAACAAATATTCCAAAAATCTTCAGAAGAGATTGGCAGGAAATAGTGCAAAATAAGGTAAGTTTGTTCACACCACAAGACACAACTGGCGACAGCTATACAGCGCCCTTATAATTGTAGTTAATTATGTAAAACATCGATAATTCTCGGTATCGTTTTTGTCTGGGTCGCACAGTATATTGCAGCAGTGATCGTTGACCAGATCCGTTTTGCCCAATTACGTATCAACAACCAATGTATGCTACTGGATTCCAACCACAGACAAGCAGTTATGCCTAATAGGTGAATAGAATGACCAGGGTTTCGAGAGGGAAATATGACTAAATGAAATTTGATAAACAGGTGTATTAATACCTCCTAATTATTGAAGCCCTCCACTGTAGACAAGCAACACATTTCAGGAAGGGAAACAAAATTGAATTATGATTTTAACAACTTACCATCTTTAGAAATTGGGATTGGTCCGGCAAAATTGAAGATAGAAAGTAAAATTTCTCTGGAGCTCAGGTACCTATACCTCTCTTCTAGTCGACTTGCTTTCAAGGAGTGGCAAGGGTGGAGTTGTTGTTGTTGGGTTTAATGGCGTTTCCACAGGTCAGTGCGTTTCCATCGTCATTCGATGATCATTCGATGATTTCCGCCAGGCAATGTGAGAGGGCGTAGTTACTGGTCCTCTCTTAATACTTTTACTGTTGGATCGACGAAAGCCTATAATAGCGTTGTGTTGTGCAATTAACAATGTCAGTAAATTGTTAGTAGTTATTTTCTGTATTGTTATTCGGCTTGTTATTTTAAAGAATTCATTAGGAAAGAAAGGATGAAGTGGTTGAATATTAGTTGCGATCAGTTCATTACGTTAGGACGTTAGTTAAAACCTCTCTTCGTATAATGAAGCAATTTATACAATTTATACAATGAAGCAATTTATACCGAGGATAGTACCACTGTCACTAATAGATAATATAGCAAAACGTAACTAATACTCGATATATACTTAATTAATACGTAATTAATGTTTATAGCTGAGCATCACAGTTCATTGTACCTTCCACTGCCTTTTAAAAAAGCTACCACCTTTCCTATATATTCCTCATTTCCTAGTAAGTGACCTAGATTTGGATTTTGGGTTTTTAGTGCTCTATACATTCTTCTTCGTTGCCTTTCATATTTTGGACATGATAATAAAAAGTGCTCAATTGTTTCTATCGTTTGGCATTCTACACATAATCCAGTGTCGTGTTTTCTTATTAAATATTTATAGTAATTCAGGTTACATTTACCAAGCCTGAATTTGTGGATTAATCTTTCGTCCTTTCGGTTCAAACCTTTGATTTTAAAAACATTATTTACATTTTTATTGATGCTATACAAGTGTCTTCCATTCTCTGCTTTATCCCAGAGGCTTTGCCACATGGATTTATAAAAAATATCTGATTCACTTACGAACTCACTTTTGTTTTGGTTTACTATTATATCTGTGTGTTGTTTTTTTTAAGCTTGTTTTGCCAACAAATAATAATAATAATAATAGCTCGTTCTTATATAGCGCTTTTCAGGACCGGAGGCTCTTTCATTTCCTGGTAGGCCGCAGTGGGCTGGTACCCATTCAAGGTTAACATCTATCCCGAAGGAGTTTATAGCAAATAATTTTTCATCAATCTCAACATTTATGCTGGATTCTTTCATATTCTTTATGGCTTCTAAAGCTGATGCTGAATCTGTTAAAATAACTACTGCAATTGGATGATATTCATCTATCCATTCAAGTGCCATTAATATAGCTACCAATTCTGCTCTCATGATGGATATATTGGATGTTTTAAAGCATTTACTTACACTCTAAAAATAGAGTGCAAAATTTTGCTGTGCGAAATCGCTGTTTAAAAAAGTTGGGTAAAGTATTACCCAACCTTGTGCCAAACACCAAGTCCCTAATTCGAAATTTCATTGCACTTGCCATAGTGTCATATCAAAATTCGACTGTGCGCATTTCCGGGGTAAGAAAGTAACGATGCAGATTAATATTTGAACCACGCGTTGGGTAAACACAAGTTTTGACACCTAAACGTGGGTATTATGACACAACTGATGTTAAAAACTATGATTGAAGCGCTAGCGTGGTCGGTCGTTCCGAATTAGCTGTTCATCGAATTAATCGTGTTCAAGATCGACAGAGGATGGACGACTTTGTTCGAAATAGATACGATCATGCACTTGTGTCTTTCCGCAGCATTTATTTGCATGAATGCGTGTAAATCTTCTCAATATGGACATGAAATTCCTCATAATTCTGGACAACACATTATTCGTATGGAGAATGTCATCCGCGATGCAGTCACCTACTGCGAACACGCCAAGCGAAAGACTGTCTAGCCAAGAGAGAGAGAGAGGTCTGCTACTTATACACTACACTACATATAGCATGTACTTTTCCAGCCAACTCCTCGGACAAATTTTCTTTTTATCCAAATCTGTGTAAAAATAAAAAAAAATCATACAATAAGGTTGGGTTAAAATTTTACCCAACTTTTGGGTAAAAAATTACACAAGAAAAAAGTAAACGAGTACCCAGGATGAGTTGGGTAAAAATTACCCAATGTTGTGTCAAAAAGGGAACATGGTTGTCGTTGGGTAACATTTTTAAAATGTTACCTTTTACATTGGGTCAAATATATTGCACATCAGTTGGGTAAAACATTAAACATTTGCTGGGTAAATTTTTACCCAACCACCCCTGTGTCAAATGCATGTTCCCTTTTTACCCTCGTAAAGTGTAAGATTTTACCCAATATTGGGTATCTTTTTTTTAGAGTGTAGGCTTAGTTTTGGGATATAGTAAGCTGCTCCTGTATATCCTTCCTGTTGTTTTGAAGCGTCTGTATAGATTCTTAAACAGTAATTCCATTTTTTCTTAATGACCTCTACAGCATAATTTTTTGATTCTATTGATGAAGAAAACTTCTTAGAAACAAAATCCTTTATTTCTGTATATATACTTGGCATCTTATAGTGCCAATAAGGTTTAACCGTCATGCATTCAGTGAGCTTTTCAATATTCCCTATTTCCAAGTTCCTCAATCTTTTGACGAAAGGACCTTGGCCCATTTTCCAAGAGTAACTTTCATATTGCCAACACGGTAATAAGACTTTTTGGTAGGATGGTTAATTTTAGCTGCATGTAAATAATAATGATATTTATCAATAAACATATTCCTCCTGAGTTGCAATGGCATTTCCCCGCATTCAACTTGTAAAGCCTGTAATGAAGTTAAATGAAATCCTCCAGTTATAATTTTAAGAGCCTAGAATTGTATGGTGTCTAATTTCTTTTTAAGAGAATTACTCGCGCCATCATAGGCTTCACTTCCATAATCTAACACAGAACGGATTAAGCCTTTATAAACATAGTGAAGTATTTCCGAGTTATTGCCCCATTTGGTACCAGCAATACACCTCATAAGATTAAGTCTTTTTTTGCATCTTATTGAAATTTCATTTATATGTTTACTCCACGTCAAGAGTATTATTCAAGAAAGAGTGATAACTCCCGAAATAAAGCACGTGACCATATGCTAGGAATGTTGTTGCTGTTATTTTAGTTAAGGGCGTGTCTGCATATTTGAATGAGATGGAATGTGAAATCTGAGGGCTGTTTGTGCTCCCTGGGGGCGGTGCTATTAACATTTCAATGGATTAACTAGAGTTGTTATCGCTCACAATGGCTATCCAGGGGAAGGCTAGCCTCTTGTCGATGGCCCTCGATCGCGTTGTTGGAGTCCGTAAATTCTGGCGAGCGAAGCGAGTCAGAGAAACCGAGCGCGAGCGCTGACTCGCTTCGCTCGCCAACAACGCGAGGGCCATCGACAAGAGGCTAGGGGAAGGTGGACCCCTGAACCTCATTAATAAAAATAAAATTGGTTTCCTAGAAAACCCGCTGTTATATAAAATCGTCTTTAGGAGAGAATGAAAGTTGTATGTAGTTTAAGCTTCTAACAACCACTCCTGTGGACTTTTTTTTTGTATCCGTTACTCAATTTCTTGCTTTCTGCTGTCTCGAGATCACTGGAGCAAAGAAAGGTAACAATGTATAGCAAGAGACTTATTCAGTGAAGGATTAAATCCTTTTTATCCAGATGGATAACTCAACAATGTGGGCATCATCCCATAATATCAAGCTGTGTCCATTATTAAAGGCGTGTCTGCTATTTTTGAATGAGATGGAATGTTAAATCTGAGGGCTTGTTGTGCACTTTGAAAGGAGCACACAATGGGGGCGGTGCGATTAAAATTTTCAGGGGATGGATTAGAGTTGTTATGATGGCTGGAGAGGGCTATCCAGGGGCCCTAATAGTCCGGGAGCCAGGGTGGAGATCAACCTAATTATAGCTGGAAAGGAAACCAATTTTCATGTGCGCAGATGTAAAGATCGCATGATCGTAATGAATGGAGATCCCGTCCAAGAGGCCCCTTTGAGGCCATCCGTGGCACCGCGTGTCTTTTGTTTCCCCTACCGTAATCCCCTTAATCCCCCTCCGAAACCATACAGCTTCCTAGTAGCACTACGTCCTCCCTTTCCACCCACAGCCCAGCCCAGCGAGCAGGGCGGCTTTTGCTTTGCCGGCCCGTACTTGGGGTGAATAGTGGTGATAACAGTCTTGACAACTTCTAGCCCTCAATCAACAAATGCGCAAACATGCAACACAATTTTATTTTGTTCTTTTATTTAGGGAAATAAACCTTTGGACTACCTTCCAACTATGTACAAATTTCGGAAATTTTCGGAAAATGTCAACAATTAGATGAGAAAATCATGATGATGAAAATCTTTCATTCGCTCTAACTCACGATTTCCTTGGTCGATTTTGCTGGTTGAAATGGCTATGTCTTCAGTAGAGCTATCCGAGAACGGAAAAAGCATTTGATAACTAACAGAAAGTTGCATTGGTCATAATGTGAGTTCTTTATTCTATATGTTATAGCTAAATACATCTTCACTGAACATGACCTAATTTTTGCGGTGCCACGCATGGCTTCAAAGCTCGATGCTTGCATATTTTTGCAAAATAGGGAATAGAGAACTTAGGTAAGCAGATGGCGTTGGGTAACATTTCGTAATATTTGGAATGCCAGAGGGGTACTGTGCATTGATATGGACAGCTGTTGATGGAAATGATAGCTGGAGAGGGTCAAATTTATTTTTGTGAAGCCAAGTTATATATAATCTTGAATATTTTTCCCTCGGAAAATTCTTTCGAGAGGATATCTCCATTCATTACAGCTTCCTGGTTTGTCCTACGTGGTGGGTGTGACCAGAGGGAGGCCCCAAAGGGGCCAATAAAATTGAGCTAGATCAGCTGAAAAGGAAACCATAATGGAACCCATAATGGAACCCATAAGAGAAGATTTGCTGTAGTCTCGAGGAACACGAATGGACAATGCCAGACGTTTTATGCGGTGGAAGGTGCCCGACAGACGCCCCCAAAGGGGTCAAAACATGGAGCTAGATCAGCTGGAAAGGAAACCCCATGAAACCAATGGGAAATTGTTCGGC